TAATTAAATGGGAACACAACGGAATTTCGGGGCAGAGAAAAAAAGGTGTAAATCTGAGTTTAATGCAAAAACAAAAAAAAATGTGAGTAATTAAAGAGTGATTACTGAATAAACAAATTTGCAAAAAAGTAAACAGTAGATCAGATTAGCGTCGCCGAGTACAAATAATGCGGGTTGAGACAAGACAATGGGACCCACAGTGCTTTTGTCCTTCACGCTTATTTTATTAGTCTTCGATTCATGATGATCCACTACACTTTTAATTAAAGTGTTTAATTAATTAATAACAACTAAAAGGAGATTAACGACAAGACACGTTAAACTGTTACTTGGGCCCAGACTTTACACATACATAAAATACATAGATGTCATTGGCCTTTATTTCATAAATCACAGATCATAAATAGGCCCATAAAATGATTTCCTTCTTAACAGGTAAGGCCCATTTATTTCGTATGCCCTCGTTTTGAATTTCTTCGTTAGCCCAAGTCAATGTTTATATTTTGTATGTCCATTTTATTCTATATTTTTTAATAACGTATACACAAAACGACTAATTAATTATTAAATGATTATATGTCTTATCGTCTTATATAGGGTCAAAGGATGAGCTACTAAATCGGATCTTCGCAATAAAATAATTTGATTTGATTAAGGAATTTCGTATATAACAATGTAACAAGGCGTAATCATGAATGTATGAGACGACTATTAAAATAGATTTGACCAAAATGAAAAACACCTTCGAGTCTTCACATATAAACTTCCCTTACGATATTTTATCCCTCGGTATAAATTATTACATAACAGAACATTTAAAAGTATATAAAGATAGCTGTATATGTATTAAGGATTTAATATGTGTATATATAAAATATTGAAAAATATCTGTCTTAGTAATTAGTACCTCCATGGGTCTTAGTCTACATCGACATGGTCCCATACAGCGTAAGTTTCCTTGTGCAACAGGTTTTGATTTTGCTACCTACAAAAAAAAAAGAAGCTATAAATGCATATTAAATATTTTCCGTATATAATCAGATATTTTTACGTTTCAAGAATTTATGACACCGAATCAAGAAATCGCTATGTAACTTCGTTTAGATTGGAGAAAAGGAAAAGGATCGGTGTCGCTATATCAAAACAACACAAGTCGTGACATGAAAAGTTTAAAGATATGGGGTTTTAGTGGATACATACTCATTGACCCCTAAAAAGACACGGCGGTGACCAATTCAAGACCCATTTACAGTTCAAACACAGAAACACACATATAAAAGTAGCAACTAGCAAATCTACTTCCAACTTTCAAGTAGAGCTATGATTTTTTCTTCTTGTATAAGAATAATATAAGCGCCAATATAGAATGATTTTTGTTGTTNTTCCAAGATCACGTTTGGTTGACAATTGCGACCTATGTTTACAAAATGTAACCACAAGCGCAAATATTCATTTTCAAATAATCAAAATTTTCATTTATGTAATGGGTAAAACTCTGAACTCGACTAAAGGGATGTTGTTTAGTTTAATACAACCATATAAAAACAGTAGAAAATAAAAAGTTGGTAGCGGCATGTAATACTCGAGTCCTGATGGCAATACGAATCTGGAAAAAAACCAAAATAAAAGATCAGACCTAAAAAAGAAAAAGATAATGAAAATTTAGAAGCTAACTGGTTTTTGGCGTTACTTGTAATTA